TATATATATATATATATATATATATATATATATTACTAAAAAATATATTTAAGAAGGTCGTGTTAAAATTTTAGACTAACGGCTTATTCGCATTGTGTATACAATAAAATCGAAGAAAAATTGTATAAGCCACCTATGAAGACAGAAGACATAATTAGATTAACAGCAGAAATTTTGACCGAAGATCAATGAAATTTAATTACTCCAAAGTAATAAGACATGAAACCTATTGCATTCTTTTCGAGAAAAGTCGATAAGCATATTCGTTTGTTTTACAGGCTATTGGTTAAGTGGCCCAACACTTACCTACGCATTTTCGAAGACAATCTGTGAAGATACTATACGACAATATTCAAATGGAATTCCAAGTTGCATCGTTCGACCATCCATTGTTGTTTCAACGGAAAAAGAAACCAATTGTTGGTTGGATAAACAATTTGTATGGATTTACAGGTGTTATTTTTGGTAGCTTGACAGGTATGTTACGAACAGTGTATTGTGATAAAAACTTAATCTGCGACATAATTCCTGCCAATTATGTTGTCAACAACATTATTGCTGCAGCATGGGACGTTGCACAAAAACGGTAATTTGTTTCTTCTTATTTGAATTACCACTAAAATCAACTTTTTGTTCAACTTTTAAAATAACATTTGCAGTGAATAAAAAAAAAAAACTTTTTTCCTAGTTTAATATCACAAAGTGTTAATTTTTTCAGCAAAAATAACAAATACTTACATGTTGACGAAGAGATTCAAATTTATAATGCTGTCTTCTCCTCTGTTCAAAGTCCAGTTACTTGGGGTGCTATGGAGAATTATCTACAACCTGAGGGATTTGAAATCCCGTCGAAAAAAATGTTCTGGTACTACAGCTTATGGTTTAACAAGAATTCTAATATATTCCATATTTTTTTATTATTTTGTTATGGAACTCCTTATTATATCTCAGCGGAAGAAAGCCGATGTAATTTATAATGATATTTAGATTAACAAACGATTTATTATCCGTCGCGATAAAAAGGAACTTAATTAAATTATTGATATATTTTTTCAGATTGCTTAATATCTACAGAAACATAGAAAAGTTTAAACATGTAATTAATTTCTTTACAACTAAAGAATGGCAATTTACAAACGATAATGTATTGAAGTTATGGGACAAATTATCTGTGGTTGATAAGAGTATAGTTCTTCTTTAAGGGGTTATATACAGTTAGAATTTTCAAAAAATCGATTTTTTTTAAATTTTATTTTCTTAATGTACATATATTTAAGAATACACACAGAAAATTTCATATCGTTCCGGTGAATATTTTCAAAGTTACAAGCTAATTTGAAAAGGCGTTTCAGAGTGCTTGGAAGTACAAGGTCGGAGCGGCAGCGACTACCTGGAACGCTATCCCTTTTATGCACCTGCCTATTGTAAATTTTCCCTTCTAATGTATTTAGATGTGTAAAGCAACAGTGTGTTAGTGTTTTGCTATACCTGAAATGTAAATTTGTATTTTTCTAACCCCAAACTGGAAAATATTTAAGAGTGGTTAGTCAGTATAAACAACAAAGCCCAGCAGTAAACTTGTGAGTTTGTTCATATTTTTTGTGTAATTTTTCGTGAAAATGAAGGCTTCCAGAGAAATCAGAAAATCTCTTAACATACGAGGGCGGATTGATATTGAAGCTACCTAGCGCTAGATAGCAGCACAAATACAAAAACTTTTATTTATTTTGAAATTGCGATCTGTTAAACGTCAACTGGTAAAATTTCATCCAAATTCATTGATTAGTTTATTTGTTATAGTCGTTTGAAGTAAGCAACTTTTGTGTTTCTTGAAAAATGGAAAAAAGTGAATTTCGTGCAGTGATTAAACACTATTATTTGAAAGGGAAAACGGCGAAAGAGACAAAAGAAAAGCTCGATAAACATTACGGTGAGTCTGCTCCGTCAGATTACATGGTAAAATATTGGATTGCTGAATTTAAACGCGGCCGAACAAGCACTGCAACAATACCATCAACAGGAAGGCCAAAAGAGGTGGTTACTGAAGAAAATATCAAGAAAATCCTCGATATCGTTTTGAATGATCGCCGAGTCAAGTTACGTGAGATTGTTGAAATGGTAAACATATCATATGAACGTGTGTTCAACATTTTGCATGAACATTTGCATATGAAAATGCTATCGGCAAGATGGGTGCCGCGTTTGCTCAGTGTCGAACAAAAACGAGTTCGACAGACCACTTCACAGCGGTGTTTGGACATGATAAAGCGTAATCCTGTTAATTTTTGGCGTCAATTAATAACTGTTGATGAAACGTGGGTCCACCACTACACACCTGAAACCAAAAATCAATCGAAACAATGGGTGGAACCTGGTGGAAGTGCTCCGAAGAAGGCGAAGACAGTGAAATCAGCTGGCAAGGTTATGGCCACTGTATTTTGGGATGCACACGGAATATTGCTCATCGATTATCTTGAAAAAGGATCCACAATCACAGGAAAGTATTATCGTGCATTATTGGATCAATTGATTGATACAATAGAGAATAAACGACCACATTTAAAGAAGAAAAAAGTGCTCTTTCTTCATGACAACGAACCGGTTCACACAGCATTAGATACGATGCTAAAATTACGTGAAATACACTTCGAATTGGTTGATCATCCACCTTATAGTCCAGATTTAGCTCCTAGTGACTTTTTCCTGTTTCCAAACTTGAAAAAATGGCTCGCAGGAAAAAGATTCATCTCAAACGAAGAAGTGATTACCGAAACTAACGCGTATTTTGATGGGTTCCCAAAATCGTATTATTCAAATAGTATAAAAAAGTTGGAATATCGTCTTACTAAGTGTATTGAGCTAAAAGGAGACTATGTTGAGAAATAAATGGTTTTTGAAAAAAAAAATGTTTTTTTCCTACTTAGGTAGCTTCAATATCTATCCGCCCTCGTACGTAAGTCGAGAACAAAAAAGCGCAAAAATGTTTTTAATCCAAAAACAGCTGAAACGGATGAAAGTAGTTTCAGTGCTTCGGCGAAAAAATTTAAAGAACAAGAGGAAATCTCAGTTCCACGTGATCCGTCTATTGAGTATCGCATTTTAAATTTTATTACAGTATTTGCAGCAATTTCTGAATATGTGAAATGTAAGATATGTGACGGAAATGTCAAGTTTCAAACTGCTTCTGAACGAGGACTTGGTTTTAAAATTGTTTTGCTGTGTGATAAGTGTGCAGATCGTAACATAAATTCTAGTCCTTTTGTCGCGCATTCTTATGAAATAAATCGACGATTTTTATTTGTCATGAGAGTCCTCGGATTAGGGTTAAAAGGTGCAGCAAAATTTTGTGGATTAATGGACATGCGAGCCTTTATATCACAGTCCACTTACGATTTGATAATAGATAATATTCACTCCAGTATAAAAACAGCCACCGAAAAACTTTTTCAAAAGGCTTGTACTGAAGAAAAACATTTGACTTTCGAACATCAAGGCAATGAAGATTCGACAGAATTAACTGTATCTGGCGATGGTACATGGAAAAAGCGAGGGTTTTGTTCCTTGTACGGTGTGACATCATTGATCGGATACTATTCTGGTAAAATCATAGATATTGTTGTGAAAAGTTCCTACTGCAAACAGTGTGAAACTTGGAAGAA